GATAAAAATAGTTCTGGTTCACCTGTAGATTTAACTACACTAAATTAATATTTTAAAGTTTACGTCCTGTGCGTTCGAATCCATTTTCGGTTTGACCTGGTGGCGGTAGCACTCCATTGTATCCACAATACATTTGGGTCACAGGTGAATAGTTTTTCATGTGAATCACAGGTGTTCATGAACGAGATATTTCCAATCACCATTTTCACTAATGTGAATGGATATTTCAGTGTCTTTCATACAGCCACTTACCGTGTGTGAGACCCATGAAGATCCGGTTTAGAATTGATCTTCAGTAACCCATGCTTGTCGTAAAAGGCGACTAACGGGATCGGGTGGTCAGGCTCGCTGACTTGGTTGACACATGTAATCGTATCCCAATTGCGTAGATCGATGTTCATGCTATAGATCACTCGCTTTTCTTGTCCAGTCTCGATTATTTACAGACCGCCGCCATATAGCTGGAAAATTGGTGAGTGTGGCATTTTTGAAGTTGGGAAGTACAATAGAGACAAATTTACATTCAGTTGTTACTCACTGTCTTGGTTGACGCCTAACACCTGGATCGATGCTCATGATGTTGGTCTCTGGATTCTCTGGTCCAGACTCAATTGTATACAGACCGCTGTCATATGGCTGGATTGTTGCTGGGAGTACAGACAATCCAGTGATCAAAAGCATGAGCTGACACGGGTCAACAAAGCGAGCCTGACCACCCGATCCCGTTAGTCGCCTCCTACGACAAGCATGGGCTACTGAAGACTAATTCTAACCCGGATCTTCCCGGGTGGCACTGCTTAGAAGGCTGTCTGTTCCTATAAACGCAAGATGAAGGCGATTCGAAGCCTCCTTCCACAACTAATAGTCTTGCACAGTACAGACAGGATACCCATCTGGACATATCGACGACCCGCCACAGCTTGAAGCTCCTTGATTGAAGATCGGAACACCTGCCTCACTCGTCTGTGACACATTTTGGACATTTCTGATAACACCGAGTTGTTAACATTTCGACATATTGTATTGCTTTTCATTATCGTAAAGCTGATCTCTTGGGGCGGTGAGGTAGCCTAGTTGTCAAAGCATTAGCTGTTTCTAACGTGGGAACAGTGTGTGAAGCCCATTTCTGGTGTCTCCCGATGTGGTATTTCTAGAATATTGCTAAAAGCGATGTAAAATCCAATTCACTTGTTCTTTGTCTCTTAATTAACATTCTAAATTTATTATTTGATCCGAAATGGATACATGATTACATGATACTGATTTCACCATTCTGTTCTGTAAGTACCTATTTCTTTGTTAACCTTCGCGTTTCAACTTTAGAACATTGAAAGATCAGTGCTTATATGTACATTGCAGTAATGTTTATCATATATTAGTTATGTTAGTAATAGTCCCGCTGAATGAAATTTCCATTTGAAAACATGGAGAATATTTGAGGGAATCGATACGTAACATGAAGTTTGTTTATTTCAAATTCATGTCCTCACCCACACATCTAGCCATTTTAGCTTCCTCTGGCTCTTTAACACTATTTAAATTACACACCATTAACATTAAATCCAGTACAACATCTGGTCCCGATATGACAGGTCATTCGCATCAGTATCTAAATTCCCATAAATCGGTTCATTGTTCCTAGCAGGTAGGTTATCACACAATCAAGCGACACGCTGCTGTGACAAGACGTAGCATAGTGAGGCTGCAAGCGTTATGATTCATTCCGCTTTTAAAATACCCCGTGGCAGTGTCTATGGCATGGAAGAAAGAAATTTTGTACAATACATGCACAGAAATAGGAGCGACAAAACCCTTTCCACATTCATAAGAAATCTCTGCTAAAAACATGTAATTAACCGTTTAACGGACACCTGTTGTTATCGTGGATTTAGAGAGGTCAATTCTTACAATTGTCATCGCTCTTTTGCCAAGTATGTCCTGTTTGGAATCTGTTTCAGCAGATATTCACAACTATTTCTTGGCACTGACGATTTCAGTTCAATTCTTTTGAAAATTAATATAGCGTGCCCTTTCCGTTTCCGAAAATATCGTTTTAATGCCACTCAAACAAGTTGAAACGTTTACGAATAAATGTCAATATTTTCTGTTCATTAACACATCTTAGATTTAAAAAAACTCCATTGAGGTTAAAGCAGTATAGGCGTACGACATCACGTGATAGTTGCTTCCATTTACCATCATCTTCTAGTTTCTTGATCAGCTTCTCCAGCACGTCCTTGTCCTCCAACACATCGTCCAGGTAGTTTTCGCCCATCACTACACAGACCAGGGCCCAGATTTTCGAAGCTCTCTTAGCGCTAAGATAGTCGTAAGTTAATGTTAATAAATGGCACTTACGACTATCTTAGCGCTAAGAGAGCTTCGAAAATCTAGGCCCTAGGACCCGTTTCACAAAGCGATCGTAGCGCTACGACTGTCGTAAGACTATGTTAAAGTATGGGTGTTACGATCACCTTAGAGCTATGATCGCTTTGTGAAATGGGGCCCTTCAGACTTCAACACTTTAACCAGCCCTAAGGATACGTACATCATATGGTGTGCACTGTGACAGAATACTGACAAGATCAGTTTGCATGTGTTTCAAATAATATTAGATTAGATATTCTGAATATAAGAACTATCGCATGATAATTCTGGAAACCCCAAAGTCCAGAAACCATCTGTGGCCCGTTTCTGACAAAGTATCAAATTTATGTCCTCACTCTCCCATCTAGCCTTTTTAGTTTCCTCGGCGCTTTAGCTCGTTTTACATTTAACACCATTAACATTACAACCAGTACAACATCTTGTCCCTATATTAACAGTTCATTCAGTATCTAAATTCCTACAAATCGGCTCATTGTTCCTAGCAGGTAAGCTATCATACCACAATCAAGCGACACGTTGCTGTTCTGGAACATCTGCACACACAAGACACAGTGGCACAGTGAGACTGCGTTCACTAAGCTGTCGTCGGAGAGAATACGAATAACGTTGTATCGAAGGACCAGGCTGTGTGGGTAAGTGGATATTTTGTATATATTTGACATACACACGACTGGCCATTGCATCAGTTTGACTTACAGGAATAAATGGCATACTCGGTTGAATATGTTTCTTGAAATAGGCTGCAGATTGTTAATATGCTTCAGATGTCTATATATAATATTTTATTTGCACTGAGAAGGCCACAGGCCTATAGTACATAAAGTTATGTTACATTTGAGAGGAATTTAGATCGGGTAATCATAGCATAGTAAATAAACATTGAAATATTTAGTAGAAGAACTGGATTTTTACTACTTAACAGTGAGGAGAGTTTTATCACATTTGGATGGACATAGTAATATCTTTCATTATATTTTGTTCGCAACCGGTCATAAAATGGACATATTAGGAGAAAATGTAATTCATCTTCTATTTCGTTAAAATTACAAAGTGTACATATTCTATTTTCTCTTCAGATGTACTAGACCCGTTGTGACAAACGGCGGTGTGGTATATCTGCCTAAATACTATAAGTCAATGCTAGGAATTAACCGTAACCCAATATCCATCTGAGAAACTCTCGAAACAGAAGTATTATTTTATCGCCAAATTCGCACATAATAAAACTGGTCTTGAAATAAGAACATTTAAGTCACTGTGTTTAAATCGCACGGAGGTGTGTAGATATTGTCTCCAATTTCAAGTATTTCCTGCAATATGAAATACTCGTGAATGCTGTGAATATGTGGCTCTATGTTTCAATACCTAGAAATCTTTTCGTTTTTTTATTCCCCACAAATAGACATTTATGCTTTGACTGCGTACTTTCGTGTAGGGTACAGGCGCTCTTTTTTCTCGAAATCTTGTATCATCGAATTTACATCAATTTTTGGTTCCTTACGTATCTTTCTTTAATTTACCTGAACGTTAAATATATAATCATATTGTCCTCTAAGTAGTCGTGAATATGTTTGGGGTATGTTTTAGAAGCTATGTCAGTGATGTACTGAGGTTATTTGAACCACAAGAGAAGGAGATCCCCGTTATTTTCATTACCCACGACTACAGACCAGAGAAGCCCCCAATGTACCCTCCTTTTAGCAACCGGTAGTGCAGGACCAGCTTTCGCGAACACCTGGTGTCATCAGTAATTTTCAATGGTCTGTTCAAATGATGTTCACAGCTATTTTGCCAAAATGAAAGCTGTTTTTCAGGATAGTCGAGACTGTGAATTCTTCTGCTCCGAAGCTGGACATCAACCCACAGTTACTGTATCTGTAACTAAATATGGCTTTAGATTGAAGTGTAGAGTAAATGTTTGGGATGTGATATGAGTATTTAATGTGACATGAGATGATGGGTTCCCTCCTTCGTCAGAATCATGCTCACGCCTCAGACTGTTTCAGAGTTTTATTTCTACCTAAGCATGTATGCCTTACCAGTAAATGAAACCACAGTTGCGACGGGAGGTTCTGAAAGAACAATTTACGCTACTGATTGATTGACTGAGTTTACTTTTACGTCGCACTCAGCAAGTTATATGGTAGTAGTCTGTAAATAATCGAGTCTGGGACAGACAATGCAGTGATCAACAGCATTAACATCGATCTACACAAGTGGGATACGACGACAAGTGTCAACCAAGTCACCAAGTACCCAGTCCCGTTAGTCGCCCCTTACGACAAGCATTAGTTACAGAAGGGCAATTCTAACCCGGATCTAGTTAAGTTACTGTGTAAAGTTACTTTTGAAGAACACGATTCACAGGTAGCATGCGTGTTTAGTATGGTTACATACTGCATCAAGTAAGGAAATTTGTAAAATACATGCATGTAATTAAACTTTTAACGAACACCTGATATCTTTATTGATTTAGAGACATCATTTCGTGTAATCTTCACCGCCCTTTTACCATCTATGCCTTGTTTGAACCTCTTTCAGCAATGGTCAGGATTATTTTCTGGCACTGACTTTTTCAGTTCAATTCATATATAAACCAATGTAGCAACCTCTTTCCTTCTCCGAAGAAAATGTTTTTATTTCCATAAAACAAGTTGAAACGTTTTCGAATGAACGTCAACATTTTCTGTTGTATTAGCATATCTTAAAATTAAAAATAACTCCGTTGTGGTTAAAACAGTATTGACGCACGACATCACGTGAGAGTTTCTTCCATTTCCCATCATCCTCTAGTTTCTGCATCAGCTTTTCCAGCCTGCCCCTGTACTCCGTGACATCGTACAGGTAGTCCTCACACATCACTATACAGATCAGACCTCCTGCCAACAATCACAGACAAAGATGCATCAAACATTCAATGTTGAATATGACTGAATACTTCTCCATAGATGTACATTTACTTAATTCATCACTCTGCAGTGCCGAGCGGTTTCTGCAATGTCAGCATCAGACTTAAATACAGATAAGTATCAAGCTCCTCGCCCATGGGCATGGATGATAATATCTACTTTTGCTCATACTTCATGTTTTGGAGGAGTATATTGATAAGTATCATGGCACAAAATTCAACTCCTTTTAACTTTATTCGGGTAATTTAGAGTCTTATTAAACTATATCGCCCGGACATAACGTTCAGAGAAATGGACAAATTCAATGGAGGAAGTGTCATGGTAACTTTCTATGATAGTGAATGAGTGAGTTTAGTTTTACACCGTTTTCAGCAATATTCAAGCAACATCACAGCGGGGGACACCAGAAATGGTTTCACACATGTGGGGAATCGAAACCGGGTCTTCGACGTGACGAACAACTATGTTACCCCACGACCCTTTCCTGTGATAGACGAGGACGTCAAGTGAGTCAGGGCAACAAAATCTGCAGGAATTACGTCAAAATTGGATACCATTCCTCAATGTGTCATGTGGACAAGACGTACAGTACATGTTATAACAGACACGGTACAAAGCTTCACGAATGCCGTATTGGGAATAGTGACGTAGCTGTCATAGGGCTGTAACGATGAATCGAACTATCGATGGAATGCAATTGCTGAGTCTCCAATAGCAATTAATCCATGGAAGAAACGAAATACTATCGATGCATTAATAGTATGTGTGACTATCGATTGTTAGCAATTGACTTCCGTTGATAAATGCGCATATAGATAGTATCAGATTTTTTCACTTTAATTTAGAGTTAACACACACACACACACACACACACACACACACACACACACACACACACACACACACACACACACACATTACCTCTTGGAATAGGCTTCACGTTTCTTGATAAAAGAAAGTGAAACTACTTCAGCGTGTCTATATTTCACATAAATTATATATTCATTTGGGAAATGACTTCAAATGAGTCATTTCAAGGAGAGAAAAAATATATTGCTATAGTATTGTAATAGTTGGTCGCAATAGACTATCGCTATCGCAATAGCTGCTTCCCCCTCAATAGTCACCCCTAAGCTGGCACATGTATAGTCGTCTCCTTATAGTTGATGAACTATGTGACTCGTTGCAATCTTCCAAACCCACAAATGTAACATGCAACACCTTTAAAGCCTGGCAGAAGTCACAAACAGTCACCACATGGTTTTTGTTTAGTAGAAAGTATATACTTCAAACGTGACAATGGCATACTAATCGTTTACCTTTATACCATCGCTTGCCATTCCGTATAACACTATTATTATACAGAGAATTTCACTAGATATACTATATTTGATCTAAAATTAAGTCCCTTAATGTATAATGTATTCAGCCTAGGTGGCAGAGTGATCAGCGACATATTGCTTATCACATGCTTAGAGCACGTTTTGGATGATAAATACTATTATTTCAAAATGAGGACGAAATTCAACTTACCTTGTTCGGTTATTCTAATGAGTTCGTGTAACCCATCACATGGGATGTGTCCTTCTCCCATACCACCGGATATTACACAGCAATCGTACATATCTGCGGAAACATCTTCATGAGGTCAATACAAGAAGTCATACTTGCATCATATGATTATATTTTCATATTACAATCCACTATATAATGCTATTTAATTGGCACCAAACCTATATATCGGGATACTTTTTTTGTCCAGGACCTCACAGTAGATGCTGTGTAGATGTTCTTCTTACTGGCTTGCTCCAACATCCCTGCAGCAGGTTCTAGACCATCCAGGCTAGCTATTCGTGAAACGTTCCAGCCCATTCTTAACACATTGGCTACAATCAAAGTTAAGAATTCCTAGGGCTACGAACGTTTTGAGAATAAGGGCCCAGGTGCTTAAATCCTCGGTCCTGAAACTGTGACATACCTCAGCTAGATACTTAGGTCAGATGTTACCTACCGTCATCTATTGGGAGACGGTTGCCGTCCAGGAACTCACAGTAGAGATTGGTGTAAATGTTCTTCTTCCTGGCTTGTTCCAACATCCCTGCCGCTGGTTCTAGAGCATCCAGATGCTTAAATCTTCGGTCCTGAAGCTGGAAAGTGCATGACATTATTATTGTTTCTACAGTAATATGGTAAAGTCAAAATCATCCATCCTCTTTCTGAAGTGTGAACTGCAATATATTTGAAATTAACTGATGAAATTTAAATGAGCTTAAAGGCTGTACCTGCTCGCCTAAAAGACCCGTTCCCGCGGCAACGTCGAGGATATTCACATGAGAGACGTTGTGACGGAAGTATTCAGCCACGACATCTGCAGCAATGCTTGGTCCCTTGTACCACTCGGGACATAAATCCTGAAGCCAAACACGTCATTGAGCCATGACAAATATACTCTCTCAAAACAGAAACGCATAACGAAAATGTCATTTTGATGTACTTCAACAACTCGCACATGCACTAGAGGCAGAGTGGACTACGATGCAGCAACATCAGATTCAGAGACTAATTCGTTCCATGCTGAGACGATGTCACGCAGTTCTGAACGCCAATGGTGGTCGCACAAGGTGACTTCAAACGTCTATATGTGACCCACTAACTGACTTTTCTCGAGCTCTTATCAAACAGTGATACTGTGACATTTCCCATGTGAGATATCTTTGAATTTCATTTGCTATTAAATTCCATACGATGTAACAGAATAAAGAGTAAATTGTATTTAAAATTAATATATTCTATTTCAATGTCAAATATGTTCTCGTCACGATATGGCTGAGATATTGCCGATGTGACGTTAAATATTAACTCACTCACTCACTAAAATTAATATATGCCTTTCTTTTTTTTAGAGAGTATACATGAGTAAATATATTGCGAACATTGCACAATTACTTTATCGGAAGCTCATTATGTGTATGTACGTAAATTCGAAAAAGGTATGACTCCTACCTGTTCATATTTCCCGTCATGCGACCATTTAGAGTAGTACTCAACAACCTCATCAGTGCTAATCCCGACACGATGAGCTCCAGCATTAACGGTACGAGCTGGCGTGTACTATGGTTCGCTGGTATTTCTACTTCCATTTTCCTTGGAAGTTCTCTTTTTCCATTTCTGAAACAACTTAAAATCAGAGGAGAGAAATGAAAGAACAGAATCCAAGTTACAATACGTTTCCTATTATTCGATCGTTCGCTGTTGCGTGAACCAGCATGGACTGTTCGATTCGGTCTGTACTCCCTGGGTTTTCATTTTCCATTTCTGAAAATTTCCTATTATTAACTCGTTCACTGTTGCGTGAAAATATATCTATTTCAAAGCAAAATAATCGATATTCATTAACATTATGGGTACTTAAATGACAAAATAATTACAATAGATGTTCGGTTTTTATTGACAAGGTACGATTATGCACAATGAAGAATTGCTATCATTTACTCAGCGTGAATTGTTGATTTATTGTGCATTTATGATGGTAAATATTTGTTTGTATGTTTGTTTGTTGTTTAACGCAGCAATATTACAGCTATATACCGGCGGTCTGTATATAATTCAGTCGGGGACCAGACCAGACAATCCAGTGATCAACAGCATGAACATCGATCTACGCAATTGGTATATGATGATAAATGTCAATCAGTTCAGCGAGCCTGGCCACCGGATCGTCTCTTACGGGGTTCTGAAGATTAATTCTTACCCTGATTTTCACGGGTGTATCAGGAAATGGTCAGCGCGCCTGACCACCCGATCTCGTTAGTCGCCTCTGACGTCATGCATGCTTTTTTCTGAAGATCTATTCTAACCCGGATCCTCACGGGTCGGTTATGGGGCAAGTTTCTTTCTTTCGTCACTCCCAGCCGTGATATCATCAGACAGACAGAGTTTATATTTCAGTCTCATCACACAAAAGAATCTGGCACATTGTAATGCCTCAACCCAACAGACAGTCATCTTTCGTTCTGTTTTGTAATGCTGGCAACGTGGCAATGTAACGATAAATTTCCATACTTACGTGCCTTTCCATTCAGTTGGTTTTCATGGGATTGACAAGAAACTATTTTAGCAAGAAGTGACAAATACAGCGATATGTTCACACTCTCCTGGAAAGAAAACGGCGAACTCTCGGTCAACATCAGCGATTGTAAATTTGAGTTATCGCCCTTGTGGAAACATGCGCAGTCATGCCTAAAGTTGGGATGGGACATTTTCTAGAGGATTGGCTGTACTTGCATAAGAGTAATAAGATGCCCATTTAACGTCTTTGAAACTGGCATTTTATCTACTTGACAATTGTAAATTGGCTAGTTCGGTGCAGTTCCTAACGGCTTGACACCCAGATCGACAAAAACAGCCCTAAACACGATTCTGACATTTGTGAGTCCACCAACTCCTCTCCAAGTGATCAAAAGTTGTCATTTTTTGTCTTGCACTTTGAAATCACTTTTGAAAGATGCAACATTCTTTGGAAATATTGTTGCAAAGTGTTTCTTATGGTAAATCTCAAAAGGTGAAGACAGCACTATCAGTTCAAATGATGTAAAAGGTTACTTTCAAAGGATATGAGTTGGTACCTGAGAAAGAGTTGAGGGAAAAGACCGTTGATATTATGTCGATGATGGTCTCTGGGAAACAGTCGAGGGGAAAAACTTAGACTGTTATAGAGATGGTGATATGCTGTTGATGTGGAGTTTCCTGGTCAAGAGGATAATACGCTCGAAACATATTTACCTGGCGTCTTGTGTTGGTTACCCAGGCATCTATAGTAACACACTGGCCGACCAGGCTTTTAAGGCAGCACTCTACGAACCTGTGACATCATTTTTCAGACCATACTCGGAATAGAAAACCTTAATTAGATCTCACATTCATGATCTAATGCATAAGAAGTGGGATATCGAATTAAGTATAAATACGTACCATTGAATAGAGCCAAGTATTAGTTACACTATACTTCTTGGGAAGCAAATGTACTGTAAGTCCCCATGGTCCCTAGTATGGTGATCTACCTTCAGTTGTTGGCAATCTATAGCCGGTTTTCATATTGTATTGTCATTTAAAAGTAACATATTTTAGATTTAATTACTAGTCCTAAATTTATCACTGTGATAATCTAGTTGTTTTACTGTCCTTCGTCGACAGGTGTTTTATAATGTAATTGTGTTTATTGTTAATTTATAACTTTTTAAGTCACAATATGGCTTAAATATTGCCGATGTGACTATAAATTTTAACTCACTTACTCACTCACTCTTCTTGGCCACCGCCATACAGCTGTAATACTGCGTGATAAACTGCTTGAGTGTATTGACTTCCCATCACAGGGATTAATATTTCAGTAAAACAACAATGAAGGATCCTTTTTAATAATGTTAATCGTCATTTAATAATTGTTTGAAAGAAATAGAATTGTTTAAAAATATGAATAATATATTTTGTTAATAGATAAAGGTTTTTTAACTGGTGACTTGTTTGCAATCTGGCCAAAACATGTCACGTTGCCATTAGTAACGTGCTATCATAAAGCCAATGACTGCGACGAAAACAAAATTATTTGTAATTAAGAGACAATGGGATGCGTGTCTAGACTGAACCTAACACAAGCTTAAGGACACTCACGTTGCAGAAACTGCATGTGTTGGTACTTGTCATTTCGAGGGAAAGTATAAATTTATGCCTCGAATAGTGATTATGACATTTTATCAACGTTGATAGTATCGTGAACAGGTATGTGAAATTCTATATAATATCACAAATGTATTTAATTTCTGATATTATTATGCTAATATGAACTGTTCAGAATGCATATGTCCACGGAAACGTTATACTAATTCTGTCCATTCGAGTTCCCATTACAACAGAGGCTACTTATTGGCATAACAAACAAAATCAGGGGAAAGTATTTTCATGACTCTACGATATATTGGGTATAAGCAGAAGCAAGTTTGTTCAAGAACAATTTTTATACTTATACTTATATGATTATATACTTCACACTTTGATCCCACACCTGACACTTTGGTCTCACGATAGGAATTTTGATCCTCACGATACTTTTACTTATTTGATTATATACTTCACACTTTGATCCCACACCTGGGGCTTTGGTCTCACGATCGGAATTTTGATTCTCACGATATTTATATTTATATGATTATATACTTCACACTTTGATCCCACACCTGGGGCGTTCGTCATAGGAATTTTGATCCCTCACGATACTTATTCTTATATGATTATATACTTTCACACTTTGATCCCACACCTGGGGCTTTGGTCTCACGATAGGAATTTTGATCCTCACGATACTTATACTTATATGATTATATACTTCACACTTTGATCCCACACCTGGGGTCTTAGGAATTTTGATCCTCACGATACTTATTCTTATAAGATTATATACTTCACACTTTGATCCCACACCTGGGGCTTTTGGTAATACACTTTGATCATACACATATGACGCACCTGACGCTTTGATCAAAGAGCGGCATTTTTATTTCCTGTGTTTGTCATCGCCCGACTGACCCTTCTAATTTTATAGCCGACCCTTACCCCCAAAAAAAGAAATAAATAATAATAATAAAAAAAATTAAAAAATCTTTTTTCATTCCAACACCGATTCAAACCTAAAACTTACCGCCTCGTCATATATTTTTTTAAATTTTTACATCAGTTGCTGCCACAAGTCCAAAGAACGCGAGAAATTGTAATAAGAATTACAATAAATGACAATCAAGACGATTATTCAGATAATTTTGTCTTTCATAAGTTTTCTTTTCCCCCCAACCAACCGACCCATGTTAAGAATTTGGTGGCTACGGGAAACACATTAAAATGATGAACAAAGCTTTGATAGTACACTTGAAGCTTTGATCCCATACTTGTCACTTTGCTCATACACTTGACGTTTTCATCCCACACCTGAAACTTTGATCTCACACCTAACGCTTTGATCTCACACTGACGCTTTGATCTCACACTGATACTTTGATCACATCTGACGCTTTGATCTCACACCTGACGCTTTGATCATACACCTGACACTTTGATCTCACACCTGAGGCTTTGATCTCACACTGATACTTTGATCACACCTGACGCTTTGATCTCACACCTGACGCTTTAGATCATGCACACCTTACGCTTTTGATCATGCACATCAACTGTGTTTAAATTCAATAAAATTCAGCAAGTTCTTTTATCTGTATATATCCATCCGAACTGGTGGCAATATGTGTGAAGTATACATGTAATTCTCTTTTCGTTTTCAGAAATGGCAGACGAGGAAACAAAGCAGTACGTTGAAGCCTGTGCTCCGGACGATGCTACAGTTAATTCCAAATGTTTTGAGGTCCATCGTGTCGGGATCACCATTCAAGAAAACGTTGAGTACTACTCTAAATGGGCAGACAATGGAATATATGACCAGGTATGCGCGCCGTCATTGAACACATTAAACTACGTTTATTACGAAGAATAAGGAAGGATACCAATGTATGGATGAACAACTTCTTTATTGCTGTGAGAGCGACGTTTCAGTGTAGGTTCTAACACCGTTATCAAGCAAGTGATGAACAGCATAAGGATGAAGGAGCATATATACAAATTTGAGCAGATGTTTGTACAGTACAATGGGGATGAGGCCTGCAAAGTACACAAGGGGAAGTGAAGCCTGTGGTATACATAAATATGGGATTATAAGGATGATTAATGAGTTGCATACATAAACGGCGGTTTATCGTTGATGAGGATCTTTAATGAGCTGGTAGTATGCAGGAGGTATCTTGGTAACGGTTGATTGATGGCTGGAGTCTCTGGATGTAGATGGCTTCTTGGAGTTTCCTGAGCTTATAGTCTTTGAGGTTGGCTCTTAGGGTTTGGGTTTTGTCCCACTGGATATTGTGGTCGGGGTTGTCTTTGAAGTGATCTGATAGGGCTGATTTTGAGTCTAGTTGGATACTGAGGTCTGATGCTCTTTGATTCGGGTTTTGAGGGGTCTTGATGTTTCACCTACGTAGGTCTGTCCACAATCGCAGGAGACGTGGTCAACTGTTCACTGTGGTTGTTGTATCTGGCTGGTTGGTGGCTTGCTAAAAGCCAACCTCAAAGACTATAGCTCAGGAAACTCCAAAAAGCCATCTACATCTAGAGACTCCAGCCATCAATCAACCGTGACCAAGGTTACTACATACCTCCTGCATACTACCAGCTCATTAAAGATCCTCATCAACGATAAACCGCCGTTTATGTATACAACTCAGTAATCATCCTTATAATCCCCTATTTATGTATACTACAGGCTTCACTTCCACTTGCACTTGGCAGGCTTCATTTGTTAACGCTTTCATCTAAGCCCATGCGTTCTTATTGTGTCTGGCTTCCTAATCCCCATTGTATCTGTACAAACATCTGCTCAAACTTGAATACATGCTCCTTCATACTTATGCTGTTCATCACTTGCTTGATAATGGTGTTAGAACCTACACCGAAACGTCGCTCTCACAGCAATAAAGAAATTGTTCAACCATATATTGTTATCCTTCCTTACTGCTCTTACTTCTAAATGCCTTTCAAAGAAGAATCTTATGACGAACTGACTAATATAACGAACTGATATTTCGGTTCCAGTCATTTACTGTAATTTAGTTCAATCTGATGTTTACGAACTAAAATCAGTGGTCCCTATGAGTTCGTTTTTGCCGTAGGTTATTGTATATACTGAGCACTGTCTTATTGTACACTGTATCTAGCCAGCAGCTATGATACTGATCTAGTATTACTTGAAGCGTTTAAATCTTCACTCACTGTATTCACTCACATTAAGTAAATAGCCTCCCTTGACTTCAGTTATGTAAAAGCCACCATCACCCGATAACGACATCCTCACTTCCTCTCCTTAGCACCGCCACTGCCACCCGACCCTCCAAGCCCTCTTTCCCACCCCTCTCCAATCCCACCCCAACCCCACCTCTTTGAAAAAAGCTCTTCAGTATGCTAAAAGCCTGTTCGTCGTAAACGTTGTTTACTGAAGTCGAAAAACACCAACATATTGTCACAGAATTATATACATGTGTGCCATGCCACGGTATTCTATAAATAGAATTAACTACTGTGTGTGAATGAGGCATTTGGTTTTAACCACGCTTTCAGCATCATTTCAGTTAGATCACAACTTGTCAGCTTCACGTGGAATGAACACACGGAATAATGCTAGTATCAAACACTTGCCACATTCAGGATTACGAGCACGATGATAGTTCTGGCGAACCCACAAAAATAACTGAAGCTAATCGGGGTTCCACCATGCGAAACAGGTTTCAGGCAACCCGTTACAGCGGTAACCTCCCCAAACCCCTACAGCTTATAACAACAAAGTTCATGGTCCAATGCACTGCTAATCTCCTGCCTGTTACCTATTTCATACAATGGACCAGCCCAAACAATTAGAAGTTAAAAAAATGATTTTAATGACCAAGAGAATGAGAGAATAGTTTTAATGGATGATAACCAAAATATTTATAGCTTCTAACGATTCAAATACGGGTAGTCCCGGAGAGTCTCCCTAATAGGTTTATTTCAAAGAGTAGACAAACCGGGAGTGATCAGCTATACAGGTACAGTGCATTATTAAGTATATAGGTGCTCCATTTTATATGTTTATATCCATGAGTAGACAAAAGGGGAGCAGTCATATTTGGAGTAGTCATAATGGGAAGATACCAATCTCACACTGTATACTCTACCCCAATAATAATAATAATCTCTTCTTGGGGTCAGTGCATTATGCCAGACAGGTAAATGCCACGTGTTGTTTGAACTAATTGTAGGGGTACTGGGCTGTAGGGGGTTGGGGAGACAACCGTCACAGCTAATTGCGGCGCCTTAGCTGATTTCGGGTGCCTTCCGCGCCCTGTTACTCTACTGCAACAGTTGACAAATGTAAGATGTTTACTAGTCACGAGGGGAACATGGGTTGATGTACCCTCTTGTTTATAGAGGGTGCATCAACCCATTGGCCCCAAGGGACCAGTCACCAACATATTTATCTTACCGAACACCTCAATGATAATTTTGATCTGTTTGAAGCACGGATATCGGATCGTAATAAGGAGTACCAGAGTTAGGCAATTAGCTAATACAAGATTTTTAGATGACATAGAATCTAGCAGACGACAAGAAAAATAAATTTAGAGTTATTTCAAGTCCATCGATTTGCATTCGCAAAATATCGGTAATTTCCGCACATCATACGTGACTGAATTATTCGAGATAAAGAATTACTAACACAAAGTACCGAATGAATTCCCACAGTTCGGCCTTTCCATCGGGTAACATAGAAAATGTTACAAGCTTGTAAGCGGGGTACATTGGAAATAGTACAAAAGCGCTCAGCCAGTCCGAAAAACGACATTTATGTGTAACGTAAGATAATCGTGAATGGACAGTGCATTGATGATATCATTATTACTCTGACACGTATGTTGCTGCAAAGTTAGCATGTACTGAATCATCACTGTCTGGGTAAATATATTGTTTCTGTGTATTTTTCAGGACTTGTGTTCGGAACGTTACCAGGGACCAGTCATTGCTGCAAATGTTCTAACGGAGCATTTCAATGACAACATCACAGAGACGAAAATATTAGACGTTGCGGCTGGAACCGGCTCAGTAGGGAAAGAGGTAGACATTCATGCGCATGCCCTCCACCCAATACACGCGTGGAGGGGTACCGGTGCTAGTGCATGAGTTCCCCTATATTTTGTCATTAGTGTGTACCTGGGATATTGCTGAATGCTGCTTAAAACAACCAGTTTAAATATACAGGGAATGTGTTTCGTTTACTGAGTATATATATGTTCCCTCAGAAATGTCTAACATATAAACAAAGTCAGAACTTTCACGATCATCACTTTAGTATTTTATGAGAAAGCATCATAATTATTATAAGCGTATTATCGTTGCGATTTTTACAGCGCCAATTCGCAGAGAATCAATCACAATGGTTATGACGAAGCAATGATTGGGGAAATTACACACGGGTATATGTTCATACAGAATTAGTTGTTTCTAGCTTCAGGATCGAGGTTTCTCCAGAACAAGCTGCAGGGATGTTGGAACAATCCAGGAAGAAGAACATCTACACCAACTTCTACTGTAAATTCCTGGACGACAACCGTCTCCCAATAGCAGGTCTCTCAAATATGTTTATCTCTTTTACAGCTTCAGGACCGAGGATTTAAGCATCTGGATGCTCTAGAACCAGCGGCAGGGATGTTGGAACAAGCCAGGAAGAAGAACATCTACACCAACTTCTACTGTGAGGTTCTGGACGGCAACCGCCTCCCAATAGATGATGGTGAGTAACATTCTGGGTTGGTTTGTAAATGTTCCATACGTTTTATCAATTCATCCGAAACAATACTCATAACTTGCCTGTTAAAGCGACATTCCTTTTAATAGGCTTGTTTCTCATAATAAAGAAGTTGATATCTGTAAAATTCTCTACTCTTGTGCATCGCTTCCACATGCCATTATAAGATTTCCTGAGGCTCTGTATTGAACATATATATGTTTTCCATGGCAACAATATTATAGGTTTGTTTGTTTGTTTGTTGTTTAAAACCGCACTCAGCAGTATTCCAGCTATATGGCGGCGGTCTGTAAATAATCGAGTCTGGGACAGCCAGTCCGCGGATCAAGAGCATGAACATCGATCTGCGCAATTGGGATACGATAACACGTGTCAACCAAGTCAGCGATTCTTATCACCCGCTAGTCGCCTTTTACTACCAGCATGGGTTGCTGAAGACCAATTCTAACCTGTATCTTCACGGTTGCTTTGGGACTGGGAACCTGTTCGACCCCTGGTGATATGGAACAACATCGCAACAGGACGAGAACGTCATATTTTCATTGGGAAAAGAATTCCGTTTATTCACCCTCCTTGTTTTGTTATTTTAAAGAATATTCTTCATTTGCAGACACATACGACTGCTGTGTTATATCGGGGGGTATGGGTGAAGGGCAGATTCCATGCCACGGGCTATACGAGCTGATTAGAGTAACTAAATCAGGTGAGTTGTATTGGAAGCAAATGATTCATCCACGTCACAGGTTACAAATAAGAGTCAAAACAGTAACTGTATGGTTTTGCACCACTTTTAGCAGAAATAGAAATAGGCTTCACACAATGTCCCCACGTGGGGAATCGAACTCGGGTCTTCGGCGTGACGAACGGGCGTTTTAACCACAAGGCTACCCAACCGCTCCTCAAGCAACACATGTACAATGAGCGGATCGAAGGGAGTACGTTTCCAACTGGAACTGGAACGTGTAATGCATTTTTCAAATAGATCTTTATCAGCTCCATGTAAGCATGATCTCATTAATTGATTTTAGTTCTAACAGCTATTATATCAAACTTTTTTTTTTTCTTTTTTTATCATAACATATACATTTGATCATAATATATATATGATAGAAGTAACACTATACTCTTTGAGAAGGCTTATAATGTGGATCAGTTATGCCAAGGCCATCCTTTAATCTTAACTCGATGTGTCAAAACAAACTGACATACACTCAAAACATATTGATACCGATATGGTCAGTGCATGGTCAGATCATTCATGGGACAGGGTCACTCTTGAGTGAAACTTAAGGGAAGTGATTTAATCCTGCCACAATGATAAGTGGGGACTACGGGTTTGCTTTTTGGCTCCCATCCATCTATGCTTGTCGTAAGTGGCGTCAATATGAATTGATCTAGAAGCCAGACCCCCAAAATGGTAAACAAATGTGGTGCAGTTCGGGCGACCAAACGGGATGTGATTTTTCACACAATCAGGAATGATTTAGCTTTGATTGCCAGCCGGTTGTCATCAGTTACCGTGCCTGACTACCGTGCAGGGGCCCTTTTAAGGTGAAACATGTCATGTCAGTTGTGGCAATATTTTAACCGATAGCTGGATGGTTTAAGTTAATAACTCTGCTTTGGATTGACCGAGTTTCATAAAAATAGTAGTTTTGGAATGCTCAGTTAATGATTTATAATTGTGGACAATAATATTACGTATATGCTAATCGCAACAAAAAAATTAGTAAGGTTAAAGGTCAATTTTATTAGAAAGGCCATTTGATGGGAAAATATGAGTTGAACTTTACAAATTAAAGGTACTTTTTCCAAAATGATGTTTTTTTGTGATGCAGATATATCATTTGAGGATCATATATACCTTTGGTTGTCACTGTATGCATGAAAACACATTAAAAGGTAACAAAGGTTGGTACTTTGTATTTAGATCAGCAAAATATTACATAATGTCTGTTCAACTGTAACAGTTCCATGCTTTACATAGTATCAAAGGTGTAATGTGTGGAGCCCATTTCTGGTGTCCCCCGCCGTGATGTTGCTGGAATATTGCTAAAGGCGGCATAAAACCATAAGTGCCTACTTTTATGGAAAGCCCAAAGATATCCCTAGACAATATTCATATAAACATTTTGCTTCTACTGTAACGTTCATAAAAATATGCAGGCCTCAGTTTTTTGAAGCTACAACTTCCTGTACATATGCACAGATATGAAGTTGAAGAAGGTCCACAGAAACGATTTAGTTTTAACTTATTTGCAACTTTATCAAATTTACAAATTTAAGGTAATTTTACCAAAAAATATGTTTTTCTAATTCAGCTATATCATTTGAAGATCATACATACCTTTGTTTGGCAACAAACGTTGTTACTTTGTATTTTGATCAGCAAAATATAAGATAATTTCAGCTCCATGCTTTATAAAGTAGCAACAATACTAAATATTTCGAAGATACTGTTGAACTATCATACAAATTTCCGTTTATTGACATTCTGGCAGAAACAACAATTCAGGTGATGTTAGAAGGAGATATGTTTTGATAAATGTCAGTATTGTTTATAGTTGTGTCACTTCACGCTCCAGCTGCACTGCACTGTACTGACATGCCGTGAAACCCTTAAAGCTGATGGATAATAATATGACATCTTAATGGAAGGTTTGCAAGTGACATTATGGTGTGCCATTTTTCTGTTTACAATTTGAAATATTACGACTTTGGTTTTCTTGACATATTTTACACCGGCAATCATTAATACATTGTAAAAGATATGACACACTAATCAAAGAGGCATTATGGTAGCTTACCACCAAATATACACATCCCTCATATACCTCTGAAATACATAGTATTTTCATTACATTCCTGTTGATTGTAATAGGTGGTGTAATTTCCGACCCTTTTCTAAGTTTCTTGGGTTCGAAATATAAATATTTCCTTAGGTGGAGAAACATTTGTAAATTTGTAAATTTGTAAATGTTTTCATGGCTTAAAACCTTGTGTATCATTCCGGATATCAAGGGTATGTATTTGAACACTTTTATATGTTCATGTCACCAGTACTAAAACAAAATGGTCACAGAAAAACTGGGTTCACATTGTTATGCAAGCGGACAGGTTTCTATTACGTCGCCAACTTAATCATTTCGCTTCACCCACTGTCAGTTCTTTAGGCAAATGTGAGTGGGAGAAAAGGGCTACAGATGTTACACATTGAGATTTGATAGTTGTTTAGGCTATGCAATATGTTATTACTCTCTCCTGGTTTATTGGTTGTTAACTGACAACAACATTACAATTTGCGATATGTTTCGCATCCATGCATTATACAATGCAGTCCTTGATTCATGATTCATGCACTCAATCATTAACATAACATCTGTGAAAATACTTGTGATCGGAACCTGCTTAAAGCGGCATTGCTCACAGGTACTTTAACACAGTGTTGTTTTAGTTTTCAAAGTCCGTTAAGGTAACCTTGTTTTGAAATGTATTGATTTAATATTTTAAGCAACACTGCAGGTTATCTGGAGGTCTGGACGTATCAGCGCATTAACGCCTTGAACAGATACCTCCCATCTTTCCTCTATTTCCACTACCCCCTGGATAATTGGAGAAAATAATCATCCTAATTAAAAGATCGCACAAGGCATCATATATACAATGTACTTGGATTAGCCTTTTCATATTCCATAAAATCAAGCAGATATTCAATATCATAAATGCACGACGTTTCTGGGCTACTTCTTGTCCATGCATCAGGTGAAAGGGCAAGAAGCAGCCCAGAAACATCGTGTTTTAAATAATAAAGAAGTTATAAATCCATACCATACGTTGTTATGTTACCTTCCAACTTCTAATGCCCATTAGGCATCTTCATGTTGATCGGTTTACAGTGCAAACATTATGAAAATTTTCCCATGATTAAATATAGCGGTTAGGATGTAGTTGTGTGGCATGTCATCAATATGGACAACAAGATCAAGGAGACACCCATCTTCATTTGAAGTGTGTTTGCGGAAAGGGTTAGCACATTTTGCCCTACCTTCAGTACACGCACACGCACACACCATAATTACAGGATCCTGGCACGTTAAACAAAGCGTAAGCCTCGGAAAATAGGAACTTTTGATTGCAGTGTACAACTCCGTACATACTGCATTAGCCCCAGTGAGCACGGAGATTCAGAACCAGTGGGGTTCTAGACTGGCTTCATCTTGGACTATTTGCATTACAGAAGGGGTTTCGGCCGAAAGTTTGGAGCATGAAACAGACTACTGACATGTGTAAGGTTCCAGCGATACAGGGCGCATGTGGTTCTTACAAGGAGAGAAACACATTTTAAAAACCTAATCTCCTATTAGCATTCGTATTTCAGAAAATAAATATATAGATCTGGGCAAGCAGAAGATGTCCTTCATTTGAAACACGCTCTGCTGATCACAGCTTGTGGCTTCATAATGTCTGTTGTTGGAACAATGCTGTTGTCTACTGCCGACTCGGTAGTGTTCATCTGGTTGAGGTCTGTCAGTGTTTCAGAACTGACGCTGTATTGTCGACGTTCATAAGCTGATGAAGATAATGATTCACATGAGCCAATTCCATGATGCGATAACTATTGTCAATTCATTCACTCTCTGTTTCAAGGACAACGTAGTCATGCGACATACTGAAATGGGGAAATGAAACACAGTTGGTCTTTTAGCATCCATCTAGACGAGGTCACCCGCTGCTGTTAAAATGTATAGACGATTTCAAGGTTTTCCACGCAAAATCTAAAGCATCTGTCAACGTATATACCAACTTCTGTAGGTGTATTGAATAGCTGATAGTAATCATATGCAACTTGACAGTTGGTTCTCTGGGGTACGACTTATGCAGAGACCAGTTGATATTGGAGACATACATCGTGTTGTCTATAATAGCATTGGGAATGATCTACAATCCATATCATGAGACTGACTATGCATTTATTCAATAACCTATCTCACAGGTTCACAAATATGTTGGGCAAAAATTGATGTTCAGCAACCCATGTTGTCGTAAGAGGTAAATAATCTGATCAGGTGGTCGTTCTCACTTACTTGTTTGATGCATGCCATCGTATCCCCCTTACGAAGATCGATGCTCATAGTGTCATGACCATGTTATGTGTAACTCTTTGTGTATATCATTACATGTTACTAAAACTGAGACCTGCATATTTTTATTAACGTTACAGTAGAAGCAAGCTGTTTATATGAATATTATCTAGGAATATATTTGGGCTGTCTATAAAAAGTAGGCACTTATTGTTTTGTATTTAAAGCAATACGTTTCTGTCGTAATAGATTTTCATCAAATATTCCTGTGTGATAAAGTTGCAAATAAGGTACGACTAAATCGTTTCGGTGGACCTTCTTCAACTTCATATCTGTGCATGTAAACGTCAATGGAAGGTGTAGCTGCAAGCGGTTGAACCTGTTGTGTACTTCAGCGTGTGGATGTGGACTTGAAACATGTTCCCGTGATCTTGACATTGTTGATACTGACTAACATGTCAACTGGGAATACACAATGACTATTAAGAACAATAAATACAAATTGATATGAAGGAAATGTTGCTTGAGTTATGATAAAATGACTGACTCACCATTCTTTGATGAGCAAAGAAAGAAATTTGGAATAATAGAATTATACATTTAAGACCTTTCTGTTATGTTC